ACATACAAAAGACGCACGACCCACGCCTTAAGGAGTTTTAACCCTAAACAAGCACTAAATAAAAATTAATACTCGGGGTTTAACGAGGTTCAGACTGGAGTCCTCTCCGTGGCAGCCCAGTGTTCTATCACTGAGCTACACCAGCGCTTGAAATTACGTTGCTAATGGACCTTACGAAGGCTTCTAGGGTAACGAATTACATTAACGTGTGTAATAAAGCATTTTAGAACAGTAAAGTACAGCCAGGTGTCACACAATGCAAATTAAATGCTGAGTGGGTCGTTAAATGCTGCAAGGTTCAATGCTGCAAAGGGCATGAACATAGTGCACGTAATGCCTAACAGGTGTGAAGTGGATACCACGCTACTCCGAAGAAGTATGAATAATGACATAGTGGATGAACAGATCCATGAACTTTATTAGATCCTTCGAAACATGCTTTAGCACCTTGCGGGCTGCTCTCACGTCGGAGCAGAAAGACCAAGTTTCTCTGTTGCGTCGCGGGACCATTGGACTGCCCATAACTATTGCTCAAGTCCGGAGCTTGTAATAGCATCCTCCCATTTGGACAGCGGTATGACTTCACCACAGCGTAGTGTGGGGCACCGCCAGAGCGCGTGTTTCAAGTTAGCTATATAACTTAAAAGTGTCCTTCGTGTCCTTCTTGTCTCTGTGTCGTCGTTTTGCTCTCGCACTATAACTATCGTTAGCTATATAAGCTTAGAAGAAACATGTATTAGTTGGCTGTATTTCCAGATATATCTTGTGCAATAGCGCGTGGTTAGGGTGCACCCTGACCTGAACAAGCCCGGGTGTCAGAGCCTGAGGTCTGCTTAGTTTTCTGTGTGATGGAGGGTATTGTCTCTGCGCCAGGTAAAAATGTCGTGCCAGTTCGTTATATAAAATAGAGGAGTCCCAGTTCTCCGAGATGTCAGTGCTGTGTCCGCCCGCACCCCCTCCCCGATAGCTAGGCAGTTTACTAGTCCTTGCGCAGCTAGGTAGGCTGACTCATTATGATGGGGCAGGGCTCTCTCAATGCCTCCCATGTGAACTGGGAACCAAATGAGTGCGTGGAGTGGATGCTTCATATAATTTGTCGCTTAGTGGATACCATGCAAGTGTGCTTGCTGTAGCTGCCCCAAGAGTGTTGATAAAAAGGCTTTCTACGGAGACATGGTTTTTAGGGAGTTTTAGTGCTGGGTACCCAAGCGACTTACGTACGCAGGACGTTGGGGCGGCGGTATTGCGCATGCGCGAAGCCCCAAACAGATGCGTCGCAAGATCGCGGGGGCGATGCGTCTGTGCGCCCATAAACAACGCTGCCACCACTGGCCTCCTAGCGGAGATAAGCTGCCCCGGCGCACATGCTGGCGCATCATGTTACCTTCACGGCGAGCAAAGCCGAGGCTGGCCAGAGCCACCACTTTGACATTTAAGTTTTAAGCGCAAATATTATAGTGTCTAGCCACCATACATATAGCATGACACAAAGGCGGGAAATCTCAGACAGCATGGATCGGCCGCCTTGTAAGGTCCACCTTCGCAAGAACTCACAGTATCCACACTGCGGGTACTCTAGCCGTCGAGTTAAAATAAGCCAAAGTGCGAGCACTTTAGCGATTACACGGTTTCAGCCAGATTACCAAAGCTAGAATGGCCTGGAACATAGAAACTAAATATAAGCCAGCCCCGACCAGCTGAATAGGTGGCGCCATCTAGCGCGACTATATTGAAACAGGCAACCACAACATTGTTATTGCAGAAACATTGTGCATTGTACATATGATGCAAAAACTGCGCAGCGACAATATTACAAATGAGTAACGTTTTTATTTGTTTTTATCTCAAAAACATTACGCGTAAGCTAACAAGTTTATGACTGTGGTTGCACGAAGTGTCACAAGATGTCGACACTGTCGTTATAGTAACCTTGTATTTTTCACTTTTTTGCGTATACCAGGATACTGTACACGATAAAAAAAAGTGTCCTGATCACTATGTATGTTTAATTTTACATTTTCAATCATAAAAATACTTAAATAATACTTACGCGACAAGACGCTATGGCGCTGCGAGCACGTGTGACCTTCGTGCGGCTTGCGTTTGTGACCTTCGTGCGGCTTGTGACCTACCCAGCACTAAAACTCCCTAATGCCTTTTAGTTGGCGCCACGGTGGCACGCACGCAAACGCAAGCCGCACGAAGGTCACACGCGCTCGCAGAGCCATAGCGTCTTGTCGCGTAAGAATTATTTAAGTCTTTTTATGATTTTAAAATGTTAAATTAAACATACATAGTGATCAGGACACTTTTTTTATTGTGTACAGTAATCCGGTATACGGAAAAAATAAAAAATACAACGTTACTGTAACGACAGTGTCGACATCTTGTGACACTTCGTGCAACCGCAGTCATGAATATGTTAGCTTACGCGTAATGTTTTTGAGGTGAAAATGAATAAAATGGTTACTCATTTGTAATATTGTCGCTGCGCAGTTTTTGCATCAGATGTACAATGCACAATGTTTCTGCAATAACAAAGTTGTGGTTTTCTGTTTCACTATAGCCGCGCTAGATGGCGCCACCTATTCAGTTGGTCGGGGGCTAACATATGTTTTTTAGTTTCTATGTTCCAGGCCATTCTAGCTCTGGAGACCTGGCTGAAACCGTGTAATCGCTATAAGTGCTCGCACTTTGGCTTGTTTTAACTCGACGGCTAGAGTATCCGCAGTGCGGAGGCCGTGAGTTCTTGCGAAGGTGGACCGCGCGGACGCATGGCCCCATCGCCCCAGCGATCTTGCGACGCATCTGTTTGGGGTTTCGCGCATGCGCAATACCGCCGCCCCAACGTCCTGCGTACGCAAGCCGCTTGGGTACCCAGCACTAAAACTCCCTATTCCGGTTGGGTATGGGTTGGGCACGCAACGCCGCGCGCTCCCAAGCCCGCATCGCCACAAGAGAATGCGTACCCAGCACTAAAACTCCCTTTTGTTTTTGTTGGTTAATAAACATCTCTCAACTTTGCCGGCTTCTGCTAAACAGATTTCTAATATTCAGTGTCCCTTCAAAAGTTGTCGATTGATTCACCATTGTGCGGCATTTTGTTAGGTGGTGGAGTGCAAGACAGGACTAAAGAACTGTGGAAGTCTGATACTTGTCCTTCTGTAGTGCTTTGTGTTGCACCATCTCAACACAACTGAAAATAAACTGGGCCCAGTCATAATCCTTCTTACTCAGTAATTAGTTAGCCTGCTGTTTAGCTCCACTGAAAGAGTGAGTGCTCATAAAGGTGTTGGCTTCTGACTGGAATCCCCAACCAATTTTTCATCAGCTTGAACCTTTCTTCAAGAGTGAACCATATAAAGTATGCTTGTTGAAAGTACATTCATTTCGCATTCCTTAAGGACTCCCTGTAATGTGATTGTGCGCGTTTGAAAAGTGCGCCACGCCATCAGCCTGTACCAAAGAGGACGATGAAGATGACGCTCGGTTGCGGCACGTGTGGGCGTCAACATTTTGGGCCAATAAGGTGCCTCCACGGAGATTTAGGAGGGCCACGGGAGAAGAACAGTGAAGCCAGGTAGACGTGGCCGAGTCGGGACCGAGTGAAGAAGGTGGCCAGGGCGCGGGAGGGGCGGCCAGCAAAGCTCCTCCATCAAGGTCCCAGCGGGCTCCAACCTGGACACAGAGCTTCTTCTCGTCGCCCGACGTGGGCCAGGCTGGTTCTGGTCTTCAGGCGTTGGCCAAGAAACGTCTCCGGCTTCGTGTGCAAGCTGCGGCTGCCAAACGCCGAAATGTCACTGACTTCGACCACCCCGACGCTTCCTTCCGTGCCAGTTAACCACGTGAGCGTCTCAAGCTAATCGCCAGTCTTTCCCTGCTGCACGAGTGCGTCTTCACCGTTACTCCGTCGCATCAGTTGCAAGTCCCGCATCACCGCTGTCATTGTTTGCGTGAGTGCGTCCATGCCTTGGTAGCACAGCTTTCGTTGCAAGCACCTCGACCCACTATGTCGTGACAAGGTTCATTTTCCACTGAACATTTATGTAATGCACTGTTCACGTCTTTAGCCATTTCTTCTTCTTGCCAACCTCTTTCTTGTTATGCATGTTGTGTTCTTTTTCTGCTATTTGTCTTTTAGGGGTTTTTAAAATATATTTGGGAGCAAATGGTCTCGTCGGCTCATTTCTCGACGATGGTTATGTCATTGGTAGTTTTTGCTTTACACGAACCTACTTTGAGAGTTTGCCTATTAAATAGCCTCGTGACACTCCCAACAGCAGAGTTACAGATTTAACAAGTTTGCATTTTCGATCGCCCTGTATATGTCGGCATTTCTGACCAATTATTAGCGGGAAACGTTGCTTTTAAGATATTTTAGCTTGGTGTTGGAGTAAGCGTAACTGCACGTCTGAGTTGGCAGCACCTCGCAGCATCGCCACTTGTATAACACAAGCCGTGGACACCGTATGATGCCCCATGAATGAAGTGAGTATTGTCAACAGCACAGACGAGTTTGTAGGGCAAACACAATATAATGACTGCTGCTCAACCGAGGCTGTTGTTTCTCGCCCCCTACTAGTCACTGATCATGGCACTAAACCATCATTTTGCTTTTCTTTTTGAATCTTTTTTCTACAAGCACAAGCCCATCTTATTGTTCACACTGTTAAGTTTTTCAGGTGATTGCTCGCCATTTTATTTTGTTACAAATTTATAAGAGTAATACTGGTGAGTGAACTTCTAATTTATACTTTGGCTTTCTTTAAAATGTGTACTTCAAAGCATGATGCATGAGCGGCTTGCATGCAAGGAGCCAAGCACTGAACCTTCTATTGATTGGCTACTGCCGAAATGGTGTATAATAAGCCACCATATGAAGTAATCTATCGCTTATGGAGCTGTCACCTTTGAGCTTCATCACCACCTGCTGAATATGAAGCTCCCGTAGTAAAACTTCAACGGCAGCTGCATTCGGATTCATTCACAATGCACAGTAATGTACTTAAAAACATAAGTTTATTCACAGGAGCTTTTACTGTACATACAATAACAGCTATGTCGGCATCTCGGTAGAGTACAGGGCACAGAGAAAGACGTGACTCGATTTCTTTACAGCGCTATTTACATTTCCCTGTTGGAAGTGAGTGGATTTCTGCGTTGGTATCGAAAGTGCACATGGGAAGCACCAGGCATGAACCAGGACTACAGTATTGTGAGAAGTACACCTTACGCTTGACTAGACAAATGCACAAGGCAGTAACTACTACTGATGGCTGAGGAATGCAGCACTTCACGGACTTTCGTTATTTATGAGTGATCAAAGCAGCATTTTTTTTTTTAAAGAAGTGATTCGCAAACTCCGAACGCCAAGTCAACATCACTGGAACAGTGGCCGCACCTATTCATTTCCCATTAGTGCTGCCCAAAATTTCTTCATCTTAAGCCTCTTAAGGATTCGAAGCCAAAAAGAAAGCCATTGCCTCTGTTGACAATACAACGAAAATGGAGGCTTAACGCTGCACCTAGGTGAATGGTTTGGTAGCTATGACGGCCCATATTGTTTTGCACACACCCTGAATCATTCTTGCAAAATCTTGTGCAACAATGCCTTGGGCGAGCATTCATTTACTGTTACATGTAAATACACCATTGTACAGACATACATACATCATGTACACACTTCCTTTCATGCATGCAATCATTATTTTTTTGTTATTTACAACATTATTATAGAACGCTGTCTTTTGCAACAAACATGCAATGGTTCAACCTCGCAGACAGTTTTGTTATCACTTTGGTAATCTTAGGAACGCAGAAGCAGAGCGTGTCAAGAGTTCAAATACAGCCATGTTTTACACTAAACAACATACTGTGTTTCATCCTGGTGGTAAAGGCCTCGACTTCAGACAGACTGGCACATTTTGACCACCGCATGAAAACGAATGGCAAACGGGGCGAAAAAGTTGTCTCTACCGTGCGTACAGTAACAATCTTTCTAAGAGTATTGCTTTTCGAGACGCCAGAAATATAAATGACTGTGCTCTCTAGTCATCAACCGGTACGATTCTGTGGCCCCCTCCCGCTTTCCGACTTCATTCCTGCAGTATGGCGCAATATTTTGTCAAGCTTGGATCATGGTGCCTGGGCCTGCTAGTATAAGCACACGCCACGCCTCGCTAGTGACGAAAACGCACAACTGCATACAAAAAAAGTGCTCATAAAGGGCAGCTTTCTGCGAATGCACAAGTCCTTGATTTGAATGCATGACGGTTTAGACGTGCAGCAGAAACATCTGCGTACTGCAGCACAAGGCCCATTTTCCTAGGAACCACTCTTTCCATTCAAAGCCTGAGAGGTGGCTTCGAAGGCAGAATGGAGCTAGAAAGCAAGTCTCAGTATTTCAATATGAATAAGAAGGAACTTAATCGCATGTTTTCCTTTACGTGGGTTTCCTGTCTCTACTGCAGGTGCATTGAGGAAAGCCACAGCACAAGGATGTTTGACTTCTATTGAATTTGCATGTGAGACACAAAGGTGCTGGAACGAAGACTCAATGAGGTTCACCTGCACTATGAGAAGTGGCTCAGGGCGCTCTGTACTTCACCATCATTTCACGAGACTGGAAGCGTCTGCATGTGATCATGTTATACACCACACAGGCTTCTTCCCCCAAAAAGAGTACTCAGCAGTCCTTGCTTTTGTTGGAGAGGCAAGGCTGGGCTTGCACAGGTCATGCTGTGGTTACTTTGCACGAGCCAGAACTGGCACCGAACCAGCCGGTACTTGTTGACGAAGTGCATGGCATGTAAGTACGATCGCGAAACATGCAATGAAGGCATTTTCCTCCCAAAATACAAAAAATTTCGTGGCCTTTGGCTCAGTGACTGTGACTTTGTGAGTGATGGGTATTGAAAGAAAAAGATACTCTAGCCTCGCAACAAGTTTCCAGCAATTTTTCAGCGAGCCACAGAGCGCAAATGCAAGCTCCTTACACATGCCACCGAAAGCAACATTTTACCAAGAAAGTGCAACTAACTTAGAATGCCATACACAAGAACAATGCACATGGAGCCATACCGGGCACTCACAGTGATCAGTGAGCAATATAAGAAATGATGCGCACAACTCGTTAAATACCACAAAACAGCCAAAAGCCAAGCATGTACAGGTAGCAAGAAATACATCATAATGGTCATGTTTCGTTTTTGAACAATTTTATACTTTGAAATGAATTCTAACCAACAGGACCAACTTGCTCTGCAGTCTCGTGCCTGATTTTCCCACACGAATGTACGTCGCCTGCCGAAACAAAAAAGTTGACACTAGAAGCATAAATACTGGGAGTTTTATGTTACGTTGCTTTTGTGAAACTCCTGACGCTCTGCGCATTACCAGTTTTTAATTGGCCTATGCCCATGGTCAGAAAGTGGAAAGGAACTAAACTCTCAGCTTTGCCATGAAGAAAATACAAAGCACTCATCAATAGCAATTGCACACCCAGACCCCGATAATGTTTTCCGGCACTTGCGGACTTGACACTTCGCTGATGTCCAGCACCGTTAAGAAGCTGGCTTCTGACATCATGCAGCACTCCACAAGTGAAGACTGCATGCTGAGCAGGAAAAAGGAGTAGCCACACTAGGAGTCTACAGCAACTGAAACGAGATGCTGCTGAAGACTATGGCAAACCATTGTTGAATGGAACAACCTTTCATCAGGATGGGACTCCTTGCACTGTAGTCATGTACAGAATACTAGTCTTTCATGATCAAACCAGCACACAAGTACGAAGAACGCAACAAAAAGAAGATGATGGTTTGCTGGTGAAATGTAGTTTCCAGGAAAGAGTTGACTGGTTTCGTCATGCAAATGTATCAACTCGCCTGGCTTAATGAGCGCCTACAACCACTCTCGTTTCGGGCACCTCGTAAACACAAGCTACGGTGGCCAAAAATGTATCTTTTTCCACTCATAGTACGAAGTCGCCAGCCCCCTCATACACACAGAGAAAGTGAACCGGCCACCCTCTCTCTCTTTTTCACCTACTATGGCGATGAGGCCCGCCGCCACAGCGCCCTAGTGTCGCTCCCGCTCGACAGCAGGCGTTCGCAAGTGCGCGCCACTTGCTCGCGAGTGGCATGCCACCGGTGCAGGATCTGTCATCGCAGCTCCAGGCCATAACGGCTTTGCTCCATTTGAAGCGCGCCAATGGCGGCTGCCAAGTGCCGGACGTGCCGCACGTTCGAGATGCCCAATGCGCGCAGGTCCTGCTCTTGCAGCTGGGCAATGCGAGCCAGGTCGCAGAGTCGAGCCTCGAGGAACAGCGGTTCATACATGGGCAGGCCGAGCGAGACCAGCCAGGGCCGAAGGCCACCGGAGTAGTCGGCATCAACGCTGCTGCCGTGGCAAGAGTCGGCCAGGAAGTCATTGGGAACCTGCCACAGAGAATGCAGTATTTAAGTGGGCACTACAGAAGCTAAATTAAAGAGACATTCCAATGAAACAATGCCAGCGGTGTCAAAGTAAATGCGAACTGGGGCAAACATTAGCAATGCCATAATATAGGGGGCTCCGAGCAGTCATGATCACCGACAGGCGCACACATTCTGTTTGGCAGCACTGTAGACTTGTGCATATATTCGAAAACTTCAAATATTTGAACGAATATTACTGTGTTCAAATTTACTTCGATTCAAATTTCAAAGGAAAATTTCGAATGAATACATATCTGTTAATAAAACTTGTTTTTGGTCTAGTTGGTTATCCGTCATATTGTAAGATATTCACCCCAATCTCGACTTTCGCAAACACTCACACAATCACTCATACAACCACTCGAGTAACACACACAGCATAGAGCGCTCCTCTTAATAAATGACACCACCCTATTCAATCTTCCGCTACAGCTACTATCCGGAACTTGGGCAGTACATTTGGTGATGCAGTCCATACCGTCTAGCAGGCATCTTTCTCGATCCTGATTGGCTCTGGCTGAGAGATCCCTGTTCAGGCAGACCAGGTCGTGGGCGGAAACCCTTGGTGTGTGCTACTCGGGTGGTTGTGTGAGTGTTTGCGAAAGTCGAGGTTGCGCTGAATATCTTACAATATGACGAATAACCAACTAGCCCAAAAACAAGTTTTATTGAGCTATATTTCTAGTACAATGGGCCCCTCTTTTTATTTTCCGAACTGTGAGGATTGACCTACTTGTGTGCTACATCACTGAAGCCACCTGCAGAGCAAGGACTTGCGCATTTTGCTTCGGGAAAGCTATCACTCCAGAAGAAGTAAGTGCCTTGTTTGGGTGTGTGAAACCTTCTTGGGGACACGTCAAAAAAGTGCTGAAAATTCTTAAAGCAGAATTGTGGTGCCAAGTAAGGCTGTTTTATGACTGGCTACGTTTCATCCATCACTGTGAATACCCGGAACAAATTGCCGCTTTTAAACTCGAGAAAATCAAGCCTCTTGTAACTCAGTTAACTGAATCAAGGTGGAGGGGCGAGCTGACCCCACTAATAAGGCTTCAAGAAAAACAAAGAATGGAAAGAAGTCAGGACATTGTTGTTCTCGGGGGTGCAGTGCTGCCTGAAGACATTGAAAAGCTGCTACGAAAGGGACTAAAAGTACGCGTGTACACCAAGGGTTTCTGCCCATGACCTGGTCGGCCTGAACAGGGATCTCTCAGCCAAGGCCAACCAGGATCGAGAAAGATACGTGCTAGACGGTATGGACTGCATCACCAAATGTACAGCCCAAGTTCCAGATAGTAGCTGTAGCAGAAGATTAAATAGAGTGGTGTCATTTTTTAAGAGGCAGAATTTGATTAAAAAATGAGCACTGTATGCTGTGTGTGTTACTTGGGTGGTTGTGTGCGTGATTGCGTGAGTGTTTGCGAAAGTCGAGGTTGCGCTGAATATCTTACAATAAGATATCTGTTAGTCCGCATAGAACCCCTGTATATGTGGTTTCACAGCAGTATAGAGGGGCTAAACGGTCAAAGCATTTATCTAAATGTATGTTTGCTCGCAACTTCCTGTAAAAGTGGTTTCACTGCAGTAAGGAGTGCTAAGCCTTGAAAACACCAGCTCAGAGAAAATCCACACTGTTGTGAAGCCTCGCTTCAAGATTAAATGAACATATTGCCTTTGCATCAATTCATCATTTTTTAATCTTAATAAAAGCTTGTCATACTGGCTTATATGCTCTAAATATAGTAAATATTAAAACTCTATCTGCTTGGAACCTAATATTCAGTATTTGCACGAGCCTACAATACTGCACTATCCCACAATAGTGCGATGTTTTCAATTCAGTTTTTGTTTTAGTACATTAAAGGAAGCAAATAATTATTAAAATAAAATAGAAATGACAAGAAGTCGCCCTAGCTGGCCATTGTTATTATCAACCTGAAGAAAAATCTCACTATACGGGAATGGCACAATGCTGTTGACCCGGATGTGTACGCCAGTCAGGAGTGATGACTACACAGTATGAACATATATAATTACTGATGCTTGCTACTGTTTGCAATTCATTTGACACTGATAGTACATTTTTAACTGATAAAAAGAAAGTTTAAAAATTAAAAGCTATTTTTTCTAAGGTTCCTGTATTACTTGGATTATAAGAAGGAGAAAACGGGGCTAAAGTTCCATGCATTTCATTTTGTACTCAACTGAATCAGCCAGTATGCGAGTGGTGCTCGCCTGTCATATTTAAGGAGAGAGATATGGTAGCCACCTCATGCTCTACCACTCATTGGTGGTTGTCTGAAGCATATTCGAGCTTGTTATGAATGGGGATTGTTGATGCCACAGCATTCACATGCAACACAGCATGTTACTGTTGACACAGCATTCATGTTGCGATTTCAGTTTACGCAGACATCCATCATTCCATACGCAGTTTTTGTTCTGTTGCTTCATGGTAAACACAAAGAACACTCACCCCTTGTTTGCCAATGCGGTCCAATTCCGTGATGCGAATCTGGTCCAGGGCTTCCGCAGTTTCTGCTATGTCCCTTTGCAGTTCTTCAGAATACCGCTGAACCAAGGCTGGCGGTATGCCACAAAAGCCAGTCTGTTCATCACATGGGAACGGAACAAGCCTTAATCAGGGTGCTATTGCCTTAATGCTTTCACTTAACAGGCAGTCTACACAGGACTGACTCCAGTGCAGCTAACATTTGCATGCACATCCCTTGATCTGGTAGTTTACAACAGCACTTTTTATAGAACTAAATGCAAAGGTTTTTCATTACACATACAGTGGAACTTCGATTATACGACTTTCAGGGGACCATGCAAAACCGTCGTATAATGGGAAAACTAAGATTATAGGCAAGGACACTTAGCCTTGCACAAAAGACAGACTGCCTGAAGAAGCCCACGACACGACCTTGTGCTTTTGCAAGAAAGGTAGATTAAATGATTATTGCCAGTGGCAGCTAATGGCAGCATTACTTAGTTGAAGGAGGTGCGAGTAAATCTTTACTCTCAATAAATAAGAAATCTAATCCAATGCATATGTTTCCACTGATTATAAATAGAGTCCAAAAGTTGCCGGCGCGTGAGAACGAAACCGAAACCGGATTGCCACCAACCTCCCGTCAGAAGAGTTGCACACGTCATTGCTGTCATATAATGGCGACGAACCATAAGTTCGTGTAGAATACCTTCGTTACACAACCTACCTTCGTGCGCGAGTTGTAATTTGTTGCCTTGAAAAGTGCAACTAGTGGTCTCCCGCAGTTGTAATGAACGTTGACGTTAAGTGAAAAGTAATTTTGCACAGTGGAGACGGCTGCGTCGCGCCTATACGCGTGCGCAAGCCAGTGACGCAAGCTATGTGTCGACCAGGAAAAGTTTCCACGGAGCCACGAAAATGGTAAAACGAGGAAATATCAGCTTTTCCGCCGGCTGAAGCTACCCTGTGTGGATAGCGCTTGACTAGGTAACGGCCCAGGACACATGCGCATGCGATCGAGGTGTATGTAGAAGCACATGAACTTCCAGGAGAATCAGTTTCCCCTTCAAAGAAGACATCCTGTCTCACTTTCTACTTTTCCAATCGTCAACCTCGGAGAACGCAAGCTCAAGTTGTGCACTCGTGAATATTTGGTCAACGTTTGATCCAAGAAAAGGCGTTTTTTTACTCTTGGATGAAATATGAAAGTCATGGCAAGATGCAGGGTCAGTGTAAAACTGTGTAGTATAACCAAGGTTCACAATACATTATTTCTGTGAGGATTTTGTCGTAACTTAACCCATCCGTCGTAAAATGCAGGTTGTTGTGAAAACGGGGGACGTATAATTGAAGTTCCACTCTAGTTTGTACCAAGAAGCTTACTCTAAGTTAAGTGCATTAGGTTGTAGTGTATCCTTCTGTTTCACATGCTCAGAAAGCCCTGCTTATGGCGCTGCCAGTGTGTCTGCAACCAAGCGCCGACAGACTCTCTGTACTTAAACATATGCGCACTAAAACTGCTTTCATAACACAGTTCCCAATGCTAGTGGTTAGTGGTTTAGCTTATTATGGTCAATGTAACGCATACAAGGGTCGCAATACCTTTGCGGGAGGTTTTCTGTTAGGGGTCATGCCAAGCATCTGACGGAGAGTGATATGGACCACGATCATTTACAAATTGTTTTATGTACTGGTGCTTATATAGAATTAAAACAGAATGCAAGAATTAGTTTCTGTGTTTCATTGATTGTGTCTCTGATGCGTTCGAATTATGAGAGTCTAAGTATGTTGATCTTGTAACCAGCACACTTTGACACAAGCCATCAAGTCGACACCATTTTTACCAAGTAGTCCATAACCATCTCAGAATGATGTGGCAAACAAAAACCTGTGGTTCAAGCGAAAAAAAAAAATATTTTTCAAGTTCAAGAGCCAATTGCTCATTTGCACGATGGTAAAATAGGGGCCACTATTCTCGATGCTGACAACTCTAGGAAGCCATCTTTTGGTGTGCAGAAGTGCAGGATTAGCAATATTCTTGGGCAGTGGCGCCTGCACTGATTCCAAACGTTGTTGCCAAGTATGTATGAAATTCAAGAAGTCTTGCACTCATAGTGCGGCAGTCCAGCATTCATTCCCTGCTGCCCAAGTCTACGTTACAAGAACAACCAAGTTTAGGGATCTCACCTTGTCTGTGTAAGGCTCCTGGCAAAGGTCAATGCCCTCGGCAGCGAGCTTGTGTTCGATGCACATGTGCAGGGAGAGTGCCGCCGCTGCAGCCGTCTCCTCCGCATTGTGTAGGCTAGCCTTCCTATCGCTGGCCTTACGGGGGTCGTGAGAGTCCCTCCGAAGAAAGGCCGATGCTTTCACTTTCCGAGCAAAGCTCGAGCCGTACGACGTCTTGGCGGGTGACTCGGCCAGTGCCTCTTCGTCGAAGGATGCAGAACGGCCATCGTCGTCACCTCCATTGCCGCTCAGCTTGCGGAATACGTTCTGCAGGCTCTTTGGAATGTGGTTTCGGATGCACTCCGCCGAAGCTCGACGCAGCTCGAACCGTTCAACGGCTGCACTGACTATTGACGACGGAAGAGGGGGAGTGTTGGTGCCATTGAACGCCCTCTCTTTGGAGTCGTCACACCTCGTCGAGAAGGCTGGTGGGCTATCCGGTTCAGGCACGGGGATGTTCATTGGGAAACGCAGAAGATTGCTACCATTGTTTAGCAAAGAGTCGCCATCGCCGGTCACCGCAAATGCCTTTCGGTCATTCTGGAATGCACTTGGTGCACTGTCGAGATCGTTGATAACACCGTCGAGAGTTACGTCGCTGTCCCCTTCCTTGAGAGGTGGAAGTTCAGGGCTCACAGGTGCCTCCAGGTATTCGCCAAGTATTTCACCTGTAATTTGCCATACAAGCAGTACTATTAGTTTACGCAACAGCTTCTCATAAGAAATGTACATACTTCCTATTTTTACCTTATACAAGCAATGCAGAGAAAATTTTAAAGACGATAGTGTTTCTTGGGGACCCTCGACGCCAAAATTTTGATTTGTCCGTCTTTCTTTCTGTCTGTACATTTGTCTGTTTGTCTGCAATAACAATCTCTTTAAAGGCACTAAACGATACCTCAAACGGCCAACCCCATCCGCAGCACCCACCAATATTGCTCAAGCTTCTGCGTTCATACTTGTGTGATTGTCAACTAAAAAGCAATTATGCATATTATTATTATTATTTATTAATATTTGATTTGCATACACAGATACACAAGAACACAGAGGAAAGAGGGAGAGAGCAAGCTAGCAAGTGCCACCTGGAGGGGCACAATGCCTGCTCACTCTTTCGGGAGGAGGGAAGAAACAGAGGAAACAAAGACTAGAGGGGAGAAAGAGGAAAGAAGATGAGGAAGGGAAAAAACGACGAAGACTTCGACGAGCATAAGTAAAGAACATAAATAAAAAAAGACCGTCTCATCATAACAACACAATGTTTTGTATGTGTGCCTTTATACTAGAGAAGACACACACAAGTAATTCTAAGGACCGTAGGGTTTATCACGCTGCGCTGACAGTGCAACGCGATGCTCAAAAAGGCATTTCCAACGCTTTGCTAAGACGACATGGTGGTGGCACCTGCCCATGGCTTTGCGTTCTACACCTTATCGCCTCCGAGACAGGCGCGCATCTTTCTCTGCGGGAGCGTACACCTTCCTTCATTTTCGAAGATAAGTGCTATATGGCACTCGTGTCTAACGTGCCTCGATACACTCGTTCGCCTTCGCTGTACGGATCGAGACTATCTAACACAGCGCTTCCAGAATGCAATTCACCGATTTTCTCGCGCCGAACACCAAGTAAATGTTTTGTTCACTCTCTCCACACGCAAGACTATCGTCTTTCGATGACATTTACAGTGAAAGATGCAGATTCGGTGCAAATATTTTACTTTGGTTTTAACACCATGCAAATCCTATCAATCTTGATCTGTGCATCATAATTAAGCCTCTTGATTGCGGCCATAGGCTGACATCTGCACTAGAGATCATTTGAACATCAAGCACATATTCACTAAAAATCTATACTCACTAAGCCACCAGTAGCGTGCTACAATTGTATTGCAATTGTTATACTTCACGTAAAAGCAATTAAGTCCAGTCGCAGCTAAGTAAATCAGATTGCGACTAAGCTCAATGATGAATAACTGCGTGGCGCTGGTATCACTGTTTGCTAAGAAGGTTGAAAATAGAATCAGTATATTTTCTTTGACCGCTTAACACACCACACAATGAAAGGCTCTAGACATATTCCACTTAGGTCTAGTTAGTTTGCCTTTGCCAGCTTCAGAGGCAAATTTTCTTGACCTGTCACTATAACTGCAACCCTGCTTTCCTTACTTTCTTGTTAAGTCTCTCTGTTCGAGGATAGTAATATAAACAAATAATCTTACTACTGCAAGAACACACTGAAGTAAGCTAACTCCTCCCTGTAGCGTCGCTACTTATTCTGTCAGACGACACCATCATACATCCTGATATATTATGTAGCTTCAAGTGCAGAATGGAAAGAAATGCACTCGATATCTGCCAGATTACATAACCTATTAACTATCTCCTGCAAATGGATAGCTAGAATATCAAATATGCTTCGATTTAAACAGTTAAATTCCTGTCATAACCATGAGGCTCAATCTCGAAGGCACACAAGTTGCCTGTTAAGTTTCTTTTGGATTGACAAAAACAACCAAATATAGCATACCATATCAAGACTGTTTGTTGGCCTAGGTGGTACTTGCTAAATAACATACTTTCGAAAAGTGTAAGAAAAGACAACTTGCCGCCACAAAGGATCGAACCTGCAAGCTTGGAATAGTGGGCCCAATGCTCTACCAATACATGCAGCGGCCACAGTCATCCTCCCATTCACTTTATCAAGTATTTATGCGCAAGAAAACCTCGGAGTGTTAAACAGACATAACATGCATTCGTGTGCGTGTGTGTGTGTTAGGCAGCGCTACTCGTAGCCATGACAGTGAGTGTGGAGCACTTTTTCTTTTTTGTCAGCTGGCAGCTGACCAATAATCTCTCGCGTACTGCTACCTGAAGGCATCGGGTCTGCTTGAATGAGACCCTCACTATGAATTGTGCGACATAAGAACGAGCGCAACGGCAAGCATGGCAAAGCAGCCTCTATAATATAACAGCAAAGCGATCCCGGCCCAAGTCTATGCCTTCCCGCTGCTGGTCAGTTCCTGTGAGGTTGTGGTTGGGAGACATGTACGTAACCGACTGGAAGGGCTTCTGCAGTTAGTTTTTATTGAAGCCTGGTGATAGTGCTTTATACCTGCTTGTAATGATGACTATAAATATAAGGTTGGAAACAGATCCTGCAGAATTTGAGAACTGAGCCTAAAGCAATGAGTAAGAGCACGACATTGCGTGCACATGCTGTCACCATCTCCCACACCACACTGCACAAGCTTTGTTTATAAAATGAGCAGTTTCTAACAAGTGAAGCCATGTCTCTGTAAGCTTACCATCGTGTTCGAGAAGCGCCTCAGCGGCCCTGAGGATCTGCATCTGGTGGTCTTCGTTATTGATTCCCAGGCTCTCCAGGTCTTCCTTCATGATTTCCTTGAAGGTGTCAAGATCTTGGTAGCCGTGCAGCATGAACACGTTGACATAATTCTGGAAAATAAACAGCGACTGTTGTGTAAGAGTGCAATTTGAAAAATGTCAACGTGATGAATGATTACGACCAAATGAAAAACTTAACAGGGGTTTCATCATTTCTTACACCAATTTGACCAGCAAGAGTGATTGAAATGTTAAAAACACGTCGCTAGTGCAGTATACATGCAGAAAGGTTTGCTGAAGATGAAGATGTGTTTCCCTTGTTATTAAGAAATTAAACTTTCTCAGTACTGAAAAACACCACTCTTGCCAGAAGCAGACACTTTGCAAGCCAAAAAAGGGACGGAAAAAAAACGCAGGTTGCAATGCCATGTCAATGTTAGAGCACTACCTTGCAACTAAATCTTAGGTCTTAATGGAACCTGCAAGGAAAATGCAACTGCGAATTGATTACAATTTGTTCTGATAGGGTCAGATACTTAGCATGGCAAGTTTCATAAAGCTTTATTGGGAAAATGTTGCCAAAACACAAAAGACATGAACTAATGTATGTGACATCGCACAGACATTTAAATGATGGACATGGGCTTTTATTTTTAGGTGAGCTATTCGTGAACAGATTGGTGGAACAGCTGAAAAAAAAGTAAACAGGGCAGTTAGCACAGCGAGTGTTGTGTCACATTTGTTTAATGCCTGGTTCTTTGCCCTGTTCACCTGAAATGTTGGTGGGTCTTGGCTTGAAGTTCAAAAATTAAATTGCCTTTTAACGATGAATGTATGAAGGAAAACTTAGCAACCATACAGTTTGAAGAATAATTCTGCGTACGGTACAACACAATGCATTGGTGGACTAGTTGGTGTAAATCTATAGAGCTTTCATAACCCCAAGAAACCACCACAAGAAAGAAAACAGGACAAAGCTCTTTGTCCTATCTTGCTTGTTATGGTGTCGTTTTGGAATACATTGCATTTATAAAGTATTTCAATTCAGTTTTTCACTGCATTTTATTTTATAGTTATACAGTGTTTACTTACAGGCACCAAGTTTGAGAACGTGCACAATATCAGCAGTGTAACATATGCTATTATAGAAGCGGCAATAGCGCTTAGGCTACAACACTTTGCTTTGGTTGGTACGAAACCCTGGCCAGACGACTCACCTGTAGCGAAAACATTCCAAGCAACTCTTCCAGAGATTTGGGCCTCTGCTCCAGCTTCGGCACGCTTGGGAACCTTCGTTTTCGGGGCTTCGTTTCGGTCGGGATTTCCTCTACATTGATGAACTTGAAATGGCCCACCTTCTTGTTAGCAACACCGACCCAGGTGCCTGTCGTGTTCTTAGACAAAATGTCGATGATGTCTCCTTTCTGCAGCAAAGAATGAACGAGCTTAGACTCACTATGAAAACCAGAAGCAGACTACCACTTTTACTTCAAGAGAAGTCGACAATGTTTGTGTGCATACATGGTCATCTGGAATGCTTCAGCACAAATATCGATTCTCCAAAACTAAATTGAACTCGCTTAACAATGAATTTACTTATTGCAAGTTGCCTTGTGATGCATGCCCTGCAATGCATTGTTTGTTGCGAGTTTTTGTGGTATGCCACAAAAGTTCAGCACATCAATGTGAGGAACGAGGGTTAACTCTTGCAATGGTGAAACATTTAAAGAAGTTTTTCACAGCATTACCACAGTATAGAAATGACTTTGCCTCCATTTTCAACAGCTGCTGGAGCATTAATAGCATTCTTGAAACTGTAGGTATTGGCAGTGAATGCGCTAGTGTCTGCATTTGATGATTCTAGCTGTAGTCATGCTAGTCGGAGTGCGGCAAGTGCGTTGCAAAGCAACTAATCTTATGCTCTACAGGATGAACTGCCAACCATTTAACATTATGACACTAGATAGCCCCCACTTTACTATATGGGTGGACAGCAGACACTAAAAGCTGTAAAACAAGCCATTGCAATAGGTGCCAATTCGCAACTGGAAGTTCTGCAGTTACACTTTTCTAACGACAAAGTGTCATTGCTAGTGGGAGAGTATGGCTGTGATGATAGTGTGCCTCAAGCATCCTCATGCTGATTCCCTACCACAATGAAAACATGGGATTCTGCGAACCTTGAAAGCCAGGCCATCCTTGTCGTATGGAGAAGGCACACAGTCGACAAGCGCACGTGCCCGACCGACAAAAGGGCCAAAACATTGAGGGTTGCACTCTTCTTCACCAATAGAAGATGAGCTCCTATTGCTGCTGGTGGGAGTGTGTGCCTGTATGCCTGTGATAAAACAAGAAAAAAAGATGTTTTATCAACAGTACTCACAACCTGAAATGAGACAGCACTTTATTTAATTCTATTATTTCTTTATTGAAGTTGCACAAAAGGACTGCTATGAGCTATTGCTCATTAAAAACATGTCATGTCGCTGCAAGCCTGGCTGCTAAAACCAATAATGGTACTAATGCGAGCGTTTGAGTCAAAATTCCGCAGATACGGCACGAACTGTACATGCTGGAAACGAGAACACATGTATTAGTAAGCCGGATATTTTCGTGCTTCAATTTGCGAGTTATGCACTACAAAACACCAAGCGTTCTCACTGTGTGACCACATTATGTCTGCTACTGGATGAAAGCTTCTCTCAGCGACTTTCCATCACTTTGCTTTGCATCGTTTCATACACTCGAGCACAAAACTACCTAGAACACGGATATGCATCACATTAAGTGCGAACCCATTTCTCCAAATAGGTGTCATGCTGTCAGCTTATTTGCATCTATCTTGTGAACTCACAGGCAGTTTGCTAATCGCAGAGTGTCCTAAAGCAATTTGTGCAAAATGAATTAGTTTAGTACTGTTAATTTTTTTATTATGCATATCTATTTCTCATGCCATGTCCACCTTTTCAAGTAACTCAGCTCCACAAAAGAATTATGCTTTTTGCCGGAGCCCCTCTAAAAAAAAAGTACAAAGGACACAAAAGCAACATTTTCTTCTCTTGTGCGTTGACTTCAGAGTCACTTTCCTGTTACCCTTTACAAGATGCTGAACCAATCAGCCCAACAATTTAGCATTTACAAAGAGAAAGAAATTCTGCATGTCCTTTGAAATAAAGAAAAAAATGTCGCAGCAATTCGCCAATAGCAGAGGGCAACAGTTTAGAGAAGTCCAATTTAATGAGAAGCATAGATTCAGGGGACGTACTTGATCGGGAGCCCACTGATCCACTGGGAATGCTTTCCACGGAGCTTCCTGGTTGGAGGATTTCATCAGGAAGGTCTTTGTCTTCCATCTGAAGAACAAAAACAGTCTCTACATCACTGGATATTACGTGTGATGTATATTCTATGCAGCAGAGTCAAGAGACTTCACTGAACGAAGTCCCAGGTACGACCACTGGACATAAGGGAAGGATGAACAGACTGTGCCTTCTTATACCCAACTGAAACAAGTTCGCTTTCTTTCAAAGGGAATGTGGTCGATTTCTTGTTGGACCTGTACGAAGTCAGAGCATCAACATCTTCATTTTTCTTTAATTAAAATGTAGTGGACTCCCAGGAAATGGAAATCTGTCAAACGAAACTGCTGCTTACATGGAATAACTGCCAGTAATATAGCTGGTTTTATAGTTGTATTTCACACCCTTGCTTGATCTCGTAGTGAATGAAACTCTAGTAAAATGGAACATTGTTTTTTTCTGGTCCTTCTTGATTCCATTTACCAAAAATCTACTGTACTTTATGTCACTGTTCCACGCACTCCCCAATGGCTGTGCTCTACAATGACACTATGAGCCATATTGTGCCGAATTCTAAGCCATCGAGCAGGCAATTTCACTTGACTGATAGTTATACGAAATATACCTTCATGGAACACCAAGCCTGCACACCTTGTTAGCTGGTTTAAACAGTTGTGCATACATTTACTTGGTACGAAATCTTGATAAATGTTTAAATGTTCAGAGTCAGTGAGGCACGAGGTTATCGGAAGACTTGCTCCTGTGTCAGACCTTATGAAATCAGTGAATTTAGTGAAGTAACGAACCGTTCCATCCACAGAGCTGCGACTGTTTCTGAAACGAGATATCTTTTTCTTGACGTCCTTGTGAAGATGCCTGACACGTCCTACGAGTGAGTTCCTGAGCTGCTGGTCCGGAGTTTTCTGGGCTTCTCCCATCTGCTGCAAAAAATTGAAATAAAGAAAAAGAAAAATAATGTGTTAAATACAAACATATGGCAGCATATAAAAGTATTATCTTTAGCAGGTACAACACTTTCAGGGAAAGTAATGGAGAACTACCTTAGTTGCAAACCATACATAAATTTTTTTTTGCAGTGGTTTCTTCTTTTGAGATAGAAACTTCCCATTGCTTTAAAACGAAAGTGCATTTTTTTTGCCTATACTTATGTAGCTGCTCAACTAAGTGACCTTCTGGACTTTGTGCAACAATCGGAACCCCATACGAATGGCACCACGAGTGTGTATTCTTAACATCAAGAGGCCACACATCATTAATGTCAAGTGATCAGCCTGTTTCATTGTTTATGATGGTCACAATGATGGCCCATCCTCAGGCTTTCAGTTAATCATCAACCATCACTTCACAGAAGGGCAGAATTGTTTTTTTTGGCTTTAGCAAACTAAATAATTATTTACAATACATCAAAGTTAAGTTTGTTAGATGCATTGTATACCTTTTCAGCCTCCTCCTGGTCTTCGTAGTCTGAAGACTGGGACTGGCCTTCCTCACTGGCAGAGTAACTGTTGCGAGTTGGCTGCAAGATAAAGAGAAAGAAAAAAATGGAGGTTCTTGAGTTGACAATCGATACGAATGATCAACGACACTTGAAAAGATGTAAAAATTGGCTGGTGAATGGCGATTGATGGTGAAACTTGCAGTGAACTATGAAGGACATGAACGAAGAAAGTGAAGACAGGACGATGCACTTAATGACACTGCCAGCAGAAGGATCGCATGCATCCAGGTGTCTAATGTGGTAAACCAAAGCAACCGAAGAGTCTTTCGGTTTCATCCGAACTGTCGCCTTTGAAAGAGCCACAAACGCACAGCGGCAGCAACGTACATACACAGGTGGCATGGCAATCGACGGCAACCTACAGAATCTTTCAGTATGCAAGTTCCTGCCCATTGTCCGTCAGATGCGAACTACCGCATCCACCTAGCGACGCTTCAATAAAGGCGGGACGGAGCGTCTACGGCCATACATCCACGTTCGCGCAGAAGCATTAAAGAAGGCATTATATCGCCCTGCCCATTTGATTACGGTTAGGCGGAAGCGTAGAAACCACGTAAATTGTAGGGGGTAGCTTTTGTCCTCTCCGCGTTCCTGGGCACCCCAGACATTCCTTTCAGACGCCGAGGCGCGCGCATTCCTGAATGCCAATAAAGGGCGGCGCGGGCTAATTTACCAGTGCCGTACGCTCCCAATTAGCGGCGACAACGCGAGCGAATCGAGATCACGTGCACGCGGCTTCAGAGGGGCGAGGGTGGTGACGTAAACGCTATACGGTGCAGACGCTTCTTCACTTTCCACTCACTCACCTTCTCGTCTCATCACCATCAAACATCAAGGCCGGGCCACCGTCAACAATTGCTCACAGCACTCCCCCTCCCTTGCACTTTCACGGTGCCAAGGACGCGGGGAGCGCTTTATTTTTTTTATTACTTTTATTTTCGCCTTCACGCGAAGCGACGACGCCGCTCGCTGGCGCGTAACATTTCTGCGGACAGCGACGAGCGCCTCCCATCCAGTGGCTTGAGGAGGCCCTGGCAAAGCAGACGAGAAAGGGAACCGATGCCCCGGACAACGGGAGCGGAGGAGCCCGAGTATCCAACGCCTAGCCAGAGCACAATGTCCTCAAGATCTAGGGCCTGGGACTATAGGACTATGAGCCATAGTCTTTAGATAGGGAATACCTGCGCCCTGCGCGGCCGGTGACTTCCCGCACGCCGGATGCGTAAATGAATGTTGTTTCTCTCTCTCTCTCCCAAGGCCCACCACAACGATCTCCTCCGGGATGGCACGCGAGATGCTCGCTACACGAGATCGTGCCACAATCTCAAGCGCAGGGCCGCCGTCAGACTTTCCGTAAAGCGCGCATTTGCAAACGAACACTTGGACTGTTTTCACGCTTATACACGATGCTCGCGACTTCATAGTTTCTGTTTCCGAAGTGGTGCGCTTAAACCAATCGACGGCGCCGCGACGCCGCACACCTGTACATGCAGGTACAGACCGAATATCGCATAAGGAATATCGGGCCACGTCCCACGAAAGGAGGCCGACCATGTGTAATGCAATGGAGCAGAGTTCAACTGGGGCCCGTTTCTTACCAGTAGTGGCACCACGCCCCTCCCCACCTCCCTCACGTTTTCACCTGCTTCGCCTGCCCTTAGGAGCTAACAAACACAAAAAAATAGAAAGCGTGATTTTCGCGCCTCTCTGGTCCACTCTCGCCCTAAACTCTCATCCTCCCCCACCTCTATTTTTTTCTCCCATTCAGGCTGATGTAGAAACAACTGCTTTAATGCACAAAATTTCCATGTTCATCGGAGAAAAATAAATGTAGCAAGATTAACCGGAATAGATCGATTGCTTAATCGGTAAGATCGAGAGAAATTAGCAATAGTTACCTTCGTAACAACGAGTGCATGTATACTTTTTAAGTAAGTGCAGTATAGCTAATGTTGGAATTATACGAGCAAAAGTGGCAAGTCAGCCAGCCACAAACAACCGGCCGCCTACACACAACCTTAGAAACATTTTCTTACTTGCGCCTCCTAATGCGAGCGTATAGAAATGAACAAGCAGAAGAAAAAAATAATCAGAAAGTCAATTACCAACGGCAACGTGCGGGGAAGCGTGCTCCAGCGTCAGCAAGGCGCGAAATATGCGCGTAACGGTCAACTGCCCTCCAGCGCGGTAACTTAATCTAAGGAACCACACGAAAAATAAAACGCAAGATTGAACCCCCTCGCACGGCCTTGAGGCAGTACATCAGCGGAAAAGGACGAGGCACAATGGAATGCCAGCGCATCGTTTGATGGGCGTTCGAAAACATTGCCCCATCCGCCGAGCAGAGAGGGCACGATCGAAGTATATCCACGCGCGGCGCAGCAGGAAACAGAAGCGATGAAGAGACGGCAATTTTCAGTGTCTCCTTGCCGGATGCAGAGCCGCGCTTTGTTTTTTTTTTCTTCTCCTCTCTCTTTTATCGTAAGCTGCGAGCGAGCCGTGCGGGGCATGCGCGACGAATATTTCCAAATATCTTGGAGCCAGTGGCGCATATACTGTCTTGGTATCCCCATAATGATGGGGATACCCGACGGAATATTATGGGGATACCGAGGGAGGCAGTATTATGGGGATACCGAGACAGTATTATGGATATACCGCGACGGTATTATGAGGATACCGAGATAATATGCGCCACTGGTTTCAAGTAATGTGGAAACATTCGTCGAATGTAGCTGTGGAACAGCCAGAAAAAGTGGAATTCTCCCTTTAGAGTGCTTAAAGCGGGAAAAATTAAAGCGGAAAACAGATATTAACAGTTGAGAAACACGGAAGAGACGTCAACTCTCGTGATGCGAATGCTCTTTTTCTTCTTCAATTTTTTTTTCGGAAGAAATATGGTTTTGTGAAGCTATCTTTCAAGTAAGCTCGACACCACAAAAAACCTGACGGGAAGGGTAGAGGGGGAAGGGGGGTGAGGCTAAGGCGTGACCCTATCACCCTATTATATCACCTTACAGGCACCCAACGCGAACAGCGCGTAGCGAAGTGCGATTTCGAAACTTTACAATCTGTGCCGAAACGAAAGCAAAAATAAATAAATAAATACAATTCTGCATGACATAAAACAAAGCACGTCAGTGCGTACGCGTACTCAATCGTGTCAAAGTGTCAAACCACGAGTTGCGACACCCGAATATAAACGGTGTGTGTCCTCGTTCGGCCAGCGACACGGCAGTCGTAGAAACGTTCTCCGCAGCAGCAGTCAAACCCAACCGCATTCGCACACACATTCAGGTTCGTCGAATATGAGCTCCGCAGGAGGCGCGCCCAGCCAGTTCTCATACAAAAGCACGGCGCACAATTAAGACTTCGGAAGGGGGGGGGGGGGGGGGTGCGGCGCAAGAGCGAAACTGAAGCAACGAACGTGCGTCTGCTGGGAAGGGACCACCGCGGACGCGTGACCGTCGTGCAGCCGTCGCAAGCCGCATCGTTTCTCGGGAAGTCAAAGGGGAAAAGTTTCTGCCAGCGAACCGCTGTTGCATTTCTACGCGGAGGAGGATTTCCGGCCGACGCGATGCGACTGACGCAAGGAAACGGGCCTTTCTCGCCCGTGGCACGAGCAGCGGTGGATGCGACGCTCGCTTGCACAACGGCACAGAGCGCGCGGATTCGAGCGAGTTTATACACAAACGACGACAGGGACGACGCCCGAAGTTTTTGGCAGCGGTGATGCGCTTCAACTGCGGCGGCTGTGAATTAATGAGCGAGTGTATGTGCAATACGACTCGGTCCAGGAGGGCTCCACGAAGTTCTTTCCGGTTGCTCGCGGGTCTTGAGAGACTGCGCGCGGGGAACACAGCAGTTGGGAAAGCAACCTCGTTGCGTGTAGTTTCTTGGACGGCCGCCGAGCATTCAACGCACATACACCTACACGTACGGGTGTAGTATACTGTGTATACGACAACGCACGAGTGACAATAAGCATTGGGGCGGGGTGGTGACTGCACGTATGTCCAATGCTGTACGCACATACACATATGTGGGCTTTCACGTCCCAAAACCACCACATGATTATGAGAGACGCTGTAGTGGAGGGCTCCGGAAATTTCCACCACATGGTTTTTTTTTGACGTGCACCCAAATCTGATCACACAGGCCTACAGCATTTCCGCCTCCATCGAAAATGCAGCCACCGCAGCCGGGATTCGCTCCCGCGACCTGTGGGTCAGCAGCCGAGTTATGCACATACACAGGGTGATTGTGCGTGCATGCGTGCGCACCTGTCCTACTGTTCATCCACCCTACAGCCCAGAAGCAAAGACGTGCGTGCACACAGTGAGCACCCAAAGGTCCGAAGAATGAGGTCAAGAACAGCAAACCAAAAAAAAAAAATCAAGGTAACAGCAAACAAGAAAAAAAAAACTAATAGCATATGATGTTGAAGCTTGGAGCACAAGAGATATACCCTACAAGACGCAGTCCTACTGTCAGCGCGCTTAAGCACGATAAATAACATCAACTGTCAGGCTCCTGCGTAAGTACTCAAGGCGCAGACCGAAAAACAAAAGGCCACACGGCACGCTTGCTCGCGAAACACAGGAACGGAACTAACGCAAAGCCAGCGCCCATGAGACCGTGGACTCGCGAGCATATACGCTGCGGCATAAACTGCAAAGAATGACAGCCAAGGTCAACACGGCATCCGTCAACTCACAGGGGGGAGCAGAGAAACGCACCCTGAATAAGTCGCACCTCACATTAGTGGGCTCGGTGGCACCACGTTTTGACTTGCGTATATCAGAGGTACCTCAGAAGGACGAAGCGCGGATAAATCGCGGTGCGGGGGTTTGGGACGTGGGGGATGGGATTATTAGGAATTGCCGCAGCCTTCACATTTGCCGTTGAAAAATGGTTTTCGCCGCCTGTACACACAATTATTTAGCGAACAAATATTACCGTACGGCTTGCACGCACACACACACACCACACACACACACACACACACACACACACAC